CGGCTCGCGTTTCGGCGAACGCGCACCGTTCGCCCGCGCTCTCCGATGAAGAGTTTTGTTACACGCCGGGGCGAATTACGGCACACGCAGGGACGCAGCCTTGCCCGGCACGCAGGACTCACGCCTAATTAACGCGTTAGTGCGTACGCACACAGCTGCCATAACTGCTGCTACCGTTGCCGCTAATGCCGCGACCACCACCACCACGACCACAACCACCACAACGACCACGACCACCACCACCACCACGACCACCACCCACCGCGACCACCACCACGACCACCACCACGACCACCACCACCACCGCTGGCCGACCGAAAGCACAGGAACATTAAGCTGTTTGCGTTTAGAAGCGCGTTTCCCTTGCTGCACCGTCAGTGCAGGAAAAGCAAGTATGCGGGCTGAATATTCTTGTTAATTAGGGGAAACTAATTATTTAAGCAAAAGCAATAAAAAAGGGGTCATTTCAGAATGCAAAAAAAATGCACGTAACAATCGCAAACTATTGCCAGTCTGCTGTTCTTTGGTTTCCGTAAGCAAAGCTTCCAGGACACACGTGCCGTTTTAAAGTCAGAGGCAACTGCGGCGCAGCTGAGAAACACGATTTCGGAAGCAAACGTAAAGTTGGAAAGACTTGACAGTCTTCATGCTGAAGACAAAACAAAAAAAAATAAGCGGAACAAAACTGAAAAAAAATGTTGCTTTTCTAAACCCATGGGGAGGCCCAGGACTTGTTCATATGGAATGGCCAAAACATAGTTATCACAATCAGCGCAGTGGTAACAAGAAAAAATAAATCATCGCCTTGCTCCAACAAGTGTGCTCATCCTCCGCTCGTGGCTCCAAGCCAGTGGTTGAAATTCCACATCACACTATGGAGTGGGCCATTCTCTCTCTCTCCTGAACTGCTGAAATCCCACTTGACTTCAAACGTAAGCGGTAGCCACTGACAAACAGGGCATCGCAATAAAGCACATGAACAGCCACTGAGAAATAAGTGCCAGTACATGATTTCTACATTCTGATTTCAAAATATTTTTGCGACCCTTTGCGTGTACTTCTGCGTGCGAGTGTACAATAAAAGCGCAGGCTTTCCCTCGCTCTACACAGGTTTGGTTTGCGCGATTTGGCGCTGCGTATGCAGCTAATCTACTTCTACAAAAATTTGAATTCACTCACCTGCGGCTATGCAGTTGGACGCGCAACAACATTGTGCAGTGTACTGTATTCGCTACTCGACAGGCAGCTGTCTCGTGCGGTGCACTGCGAGTTGGTTGACTGCCTTGTATACTACGCAATTTTTCTTTGTGCGCCCTTTATGCGGAGCGCATCCACTGCATAAAGCAGTCGCGCAGCTGTGAGCACACGGTACGAGTTTAATGCCACATCCGTAGCCAACATCAGTGGCGAGTAATATCTGAACCAGTCGTGCGATTCCTTAAAGTTGACTCGCAATAAATGTAGTGCCTGGAGTAGTGTGTGTAAATGTGCGGTGCATGCGTCATACTGGCTTTAACCGGTGCTCGCTAACACTTGCCCCAGCAGACTACATAGCTCGACAGGCAATCTTTATCTTTGCAATACAAATAAACGTACGAGTTGAGCTCTTAAGTAGTGTATGGGGGTCAATTTACATTAATGGCTAACTGCTGAGAGCCGTTTTAACTAAAAGCTGGTGTAAAAGTTAAGGCACGCTCTTAAATCTTCATACCACACGACTTGTAATACTCAGCTTGTTCCAGCCACAATGCCTCCCCAGTTAAGACAAGCAATTTGGGGGAATAACAGGTTTGAAGAATCCATGTAAAAATGTTTCTGCTACAGGTTGATGGGAGATAAACACACGTGAAGGGGAACTCAACGGGCAAGGCAGGCGAGTGTTAGCCTTTGCATTTTAACTTGGAAGGAACAGCAACCTATTTAAGTCGTTGATCAGTCTGTGAAACACCTAGGCTTTTAACAGGTCGGTGATGGAATTAAACTTTTATTCTCCTGATACATGCACGAAATTGTGCACGTGAGAATCGATTGCATTTAAGCGAAACGGCACAAACAAAACAGAACAAATGAATACCATTCGGTTCGTTTGGTAAAGTCACGAAGGTAGAAAATAAAACAAATCACGACGTTTCAGGCACAACACAATCGTCCATCATCAGGTGGATTCTCCTGCAGTCACGAAAGCTTCAAATCAAGATAGAACAAATGAACTCAAGGAAGCAGCAAAGCGAGAGGAGACTGACGGTCGAATCGAACTGCGACTCCGACTCGCAACAATCCAATCAAATCCAGGCGACTCGGTCACCTCGGCCTCGTGCCATCCGCCCGTTTTGACTCCGACCGCGATTGAAAACGGCTCCCGGGAGTGCTGGTGTGCCGCCGCGAGATACAAAGAGGATGCAAACCCCAGCACGGATCGTTTTCTACAACGGTAAAAAAAAAGTTTAGGCGTAGGTAATGTCACTATCGTTGCTTCTTTCTCAACAATTTCTCTTTTATTTTACCCACCGAGCTATAAGAGCTCTTTGTCAGAAGCGACCTGGCCGCAAGTGATAGCTCAACGAAGTGCCCTTATCATGTGGAAATCCATAGCAGCCAAATGATCGAAACGCATGTTTCTAAATGGAGGGAAGAACCGGAGGACCCGGAGAAAACTCCACGCGACCACAGGGAGAGAGACACACAAACTCCAAATATAGAGGCACCAGGCAGGGTTGGGATCTAACCAACGACCTCCTATATACCGAGCGAGGCAGTTAACATCTCGGCACCGTGGCGCTCTTTCCTTCTGCCAGAGCCGAAAACTGGTTGCAGAGTCCGACACCTGCACCCCAAGCTTGGGTCGGTCTCACGGCTACCTCACCATCTGGCTTTCGGCTTCCCTCTTGGTCACTGACCTTTGGGTGCCACTCCAATGCCCGTCCGGTGATACGCGCCCCACTCCATCCTGGCCACGTGCAACTTCCCGTTCCTTAATTGCGCCCGCTATATTATTTTCCAAGTTCCCAAGTTACCAACCGTATCCTTCCATTAAATTACTAGCATCCCTCCACGTGCACTTATATTCCATGCGCACAGGCGAGGCGCTGCCCGTTGTATTGTTCTGTTAAAAGCGCGGCCCTCTGACCCGTAAATTAACACGGGCATTACTGCTGCCCAAACCACCTGTTTCTTCACATTAGAGACACGAGCACGACCCGGTAGGAAACAATCCTGGCATCTGGAATGCAAGTCGTAATGACTACCATCTCAGGCCCATCGCTCTCACAACACACCTCAATCACAATGCGTCTGTACGGAAATGCATCTCAAGACGCCGTACAGAGAGATGGGCGACTACATGTGCACCGTGGCAGCTATGATTGGTGTAGAATACCGGCTGGGGAAATGGCAGAGCCAGGATTTTTCAGGTGGGGGGGGGCAACCCCTCCAGCAATGAAAAATGATAGTTGTTAGTAAGTAAGGACTTGTCCCTTGCTTTTTATTCGACGCGTCTGCGGCAATGGCGCAGCCATCGATCGAGGGTCAAATTCGAACCGTGTGTGATTGGCATCGCGCTCGCTGAAGGTATGCCTTCAGGGAAGTCGTGTACTGTATACGCAACCACGCACAATTCTGTGAGTCACTTATAACAACTGCTTTGCCGTTACTTATTGCCAATTATGGACTCGGACTATTATCCTATCATCTCAGAGTCCCTGGCACGTAATAATGTTACACAGTTGCAATGGGGGTCGCAAAATGCCGATTTATTACTAATAACCCCAATGATCCGATCGAAATGAGGGATTTCGATCGGATCATTGGGGGGGCACGTGCCACCCCACCCCCCCCCCCCCCCCACTGGCTCTGCCAGTGGGCTGGGGAAAATAAGAGATTTTATTTTTATATGCTTAACCAAAATAATTAATGTGGGGCCAGCAGGCAAAGAGTATTGGGCAAATGTGGAGGAAAGGCTTTGGTGATGGTCAGAAAGAAAAAACGAGGCGAGGGAGACACAGTGGGGGTCTTCTCTTTGGTTCTTTCGGTAAAGTCACGTAGAATGAGAATAAAATAATAAATTGATAAAATAAAATAACACAATAATATTCTCACGACGTTTCGGCCACAACACAAGCGGCCTTCATCAGGTGAAGGGACGAGACTGTCTGGTAGGACAGCGCTGTCCTACCAGACAGTCTCGTCCCTTTACCTGATGAAGGCCGCTTGTGTTGTGGCCGAAACGTCGTGAGAATATTATTGTGTTATTTTATTTTATCAATTTATTATTTTATTCTCATTCTACGTGACTTTATCGAAAGAACCAAAGAAGATGAATCATTGCAGTCACGAAAGCTTTAAATCGAAATTTACACAGTGGGTCGTCAACTGCTGAAAGCCTTGAGAGCCAGGCGAGGCAGCAGAGGTAGGGTCAGTATGAGAATGAGGAGTTAAGCTCGTGGGGGTTGGTTCGTTTGGCACGTAAAAACAAACGTATATTTTTTTAAAATTGTTACGCTCATGACGTGACGTAACACAACGCTCGCAGAAATATGTTCATTACAATCTGTGCATGGTAAATGCACGTGCTCTGCCGGTGTTTATGTGTATATATATGTTTTACCAGGTAAAGCATACGGAGCTATACAGCTCTTTTTCAGAAGCGACCTGGCCATAAATGATAGATCAATGAAGTGGCTAATCACGTGGAAATGTATAACAACCAAATCCTCTAAACGCCATGTTTCTAAATGTGGAGAGAAAAACCAGAGGACCCGGAGAAAAATCCACGCGACCACAGGGAGAGAGAGAGAGAGACACACGCAAACTCCAAATATACAACATGCATAGTCAGGGTTGGGATCAAACCCACAACCTCCTGTACACCGTGCGAGGTAGTTATTAACGCGCCACGGTGGCGAGATGTTACGTGGTTGGCCGTAGAGGTGTTTGGGGGGGGGGGGGGGGGGGGGGGGGGGGGGGGGGGGGGCTGTGTGTCAGCAGGCGACGGGGCTCGTTACTTGAGCTTTGGTTCGCGGCCCTCGTTGGTGTACTGCCAGCACGTGAGGCCGATGAGGTCCCCGACGCGCGCGTTGGCCATGACGACGACGTGCATGGCGTGGGCGTGCTCCGGGTTGGCGCCCGGCAGGTACACGTCGATCCGCTTGGTCGCCGTTGTGCCCACATGGCCCTGCCGGAAGGCGCACAGCGACGACAGGAGGAGTGGGGGGGAGGGGGAGAAGACGGCACACATGCGCACCGCCAATTAGCATGCTTGGATAGATATGGTACGAAAGAAGATCAACATACATACAAAGATCCCCCCGAATAGCTTTAGCAGACTGTTGGGGAAAGCGCTGTTAATGAGCGCACAGAACACGAAGGGGGTGGGTGGCCAGCACCACGCCCGACCGCCTTTGTCCCCCGAGTGGCAATGTTCACACAATCGCACCAGGTGCTCAATTGAGGCCGAGTCAACCTAGGGGAGGCCCAGGACCGGTTCAGATCACCGTCACTCGTGTTGGCCGTGAGCGGGAATAGGATCGCCGAGTTCGTAGCAATGCACGAATCACTGCACTTCCAGCACACAAAGACACACAAACGTACACCGCCACCACCATTATCAACAACACGAGAAAGGGCTCTCCCCAAGCTTCGAGGCCTTTTATAGCGAGGGCTGATCTCTAATGTAGAGGGTCCTTGCCTACAGGCATCCGGCAGTTCACCAGCATTGGTTCAAGCAAGTCCAACGTCGCCGATGGCACAATGAATGTACAAAAAATACTGGGATCGATAAAACGAGGACCACTCTGCGGTGAACGGATTCACCCCCGCCACATGATTGCGTAATGTGAAGAGGAGACTCGACACGTCGCCGCAGTGGCTCATTTGAGCAGGAAGTAGTAGATCTCCTCTCCCCTCCCCCCACTATGAAAAGGGTGCCCTAAATCGCAGCACTGCAAGACACACGATTACTTTCTTGCAGTCTCACTCGTTGTGCAAAAGAACCTTTTGTGCCCACGCAGGGATCCGACGCCAGGACCTTGCCGCGCACATTCCATATCGGCAGCGCTTAAGTAGAAGGCCCGCTGTAGTAGCAGCAATGAGGTATATGCCCTTCAAAGAAAGTCTCTCTCTCTCTCTCCTTGCGTTAACTGCACATCGGGGCCGTGCATGTGCAGCATGAATAAAACAAGCAAAACTTTCTCCGCTGGATTTTTACTCGGCGCGCTAAAATATTGATGGACTTTAATCTGCAGCCAGAGAAGATTCCAATTGAGCAGACTCATTTCTCATAAATTCTTAAACAAAGTACAATGCTTATTAAAACGGTTGCAGCGTACAAGGCTTTACAGAGACCTAATGCACTCAGACCATCAAAAGAGAGGAACTCTTATTGCATTTCATGAACCATGATTTATTTGGCACAGTTCCAAATCTCATTATATTTATTTCTCAACTTTTCCCAATTTCCTTTGCTCTAATCAAACCTCAAAGTACTATCCGAGTTTTTAAAAATAATTCAATCCTACACAGTAGGAAAGTCTTATTGAGCGGATGCACTCCCCTGTAATAGGAATGTGGCGTTTCCACCACTGGTTTCAGTGCCACCAACCAGATTGCTCGTTTCAGCAGAGAACTTTAAGCCGACCCTCTTGTTGGTTTGAGACAATTAAAATTACTTTAAATTATTATGTTAACGGTAAGTTCAGACCAAGGAGGCAAACAATATCATAGGAATATATACAAACACAGAAATGTAATGTTAAATCAAGGTGAGAACCCACTGATACTAATGTCCTTGTATAACCAGGGGAAACCTGGTTATACAAGGACATCACACAGCAAAATTTGAAATTAAATAAAGTTACTGAATGGCCACGACCAAACCCAAACGTGGAGAAATAGGAATTAAGTTCAAACAAAATGAGAGTGGGCTCCCAGAAATGAAGAGAATACTCCCGTCCGCAGATTGCTTTGAGATACGGCTCCAAGACCTAGACTTAAGAATCGTGTGGCATCATCCAAAACACCCAACTGTTTTGAGGCAGCTCGATACCCAGCGTGCACGCGACAAACCCCATCCGTGAAACTTCACCGTTCGGTCTCCCCCTTCATCAGCACCTCCCCCCAACCCACACGTCGTCGTCATCAGCATCGCTGTTAATGTGGCATCGCCGTCACGGCCGCATAAAGACGCTTGTGGAGGGGGCACAGGGCACCGATCCCCCCCCCCTTCCGAAACCGTCACGGCTAATTTGGAGACAATCGTTTTCACGCCGTTTGCTTGGATCGGTCACTAGGGGGTGGCAACACACCTTCCTGCGGGGAACAAATCGACTCGCGCTGCACAGGAAACTGGGAAAACGACCCCAAAAGATCGTGCGCGCAAAACCCATATTCCGTCCTAGAAAATAAAATACTTGCGTCGCGTTTGTGTTCGTAACCGCGTCGTCGGCGATGCAGAATTCGGCGAGGGAAAATCGATCTCGAACTCCCTGCGGTCAGCAGAGCGGCTTCGGCCGAACAGCTCGAGAAGCCGGGAGGCCACAGATGGGTTTTAGCAAGTTAATTCAATAGCGCCTTCTCACCCGCCACACAATGGCGCTGCTGCTGCTGCGTGCTCTGCAAAGGGGGGGGGGGGGGAGTCCTCGCCACACGTTAATCGCCAGAAAGATGCTGACCTTCAAGCCTGGCTGGAACAAAATCAGAATCTTTATTTATACTCGAGGAATCCGATGAGCTGCAAATCTCTCTTTCACAGAAGTCCAGTAGTCGACAAACCTTAGTACCAAATTGCATCAAACCTAAAAAAAAACCTCCAATCAACACGGTTGGCTACGTACGGCACGAAAGAAGTTCGACGTGCATACATAGACGTAATATTGCTTGGTGCTTTAGATCGTGCAGCCATTAGTAGCCAAGACTTTAAAAAAAATCCAACCGCACGCACCTCGGGAATCTGCCGTAACCGCATCAGGTGGCTCAAATCGCCCCACGGGGCTCGGCAACGCTGGCTCAGTGCTCAGACACGGCCATTGTGGGCCCTCTAAACCACGCGGTGAAAGCGCAGTACATTTTTGTTTAACCCCCCCCCTACCCCCAAGCGATGTCTCTCTGAGCAAGCGCACCCAGACCACGGCTTACTGCGAGGGCAGCACAATGACCACACCGAAGTGGCCGAGGTAATTATTTGCATGACCCCCCCCCCCACCGCCTGCCCCCGTGTGTGCCTGCACGGAGTTGCCTTGTGAACTCGCACCCACCAATAGGAAATGCTTAAAATCACCGCTTGGAGGGCAGGAAGGCGACTTCAAGAGTCATTGATAACGTCTCTGTCCGTTTAGGCAGACGGCACTTAGACAGAATGGCAAAACGCCGCACTCAAAATATTCCCATCCATACCTACCACGGTCTGTCCGTGGTCTTCCTCTCTCCAGCGTTACATTATATTTAGCCCCCTGATCGGAAGGCTTCGAGAGAACAACGCTGATGGCACTTAGACTCGCACTTGGTTCATTTACACGACTCAAGTTGCACAACTACTTGCGGGTGTCCCGGTCACACATTTACATCAAAACCCAAAACAGCGTCTCCTTTTATGTGACATAATGAATAAAGCTAACTGATACAATGTTGAACCGAACCATTTATTCAACCAAAAAAACACAAGGGTTTTCCCCTCTTTGAACGTTGGCAGTAAATGGCAAAATGACAACTTTGGCTCAGACTCCTCGCTCGTTCACAAGAGCCACGAAAAGAGTTTGCTACATACATGCAAGACATCGTGCACTTGGACCATCGGTATTCCCCCCAGTACGCCTCTCAGCTCTCCAATGCAAGACAACATACAACGCACGCGCACATAAAATTACCGACTTGAGGGTCAAATGATCGCTAGACGGTGAACACGTGCTGCACGAGTCCTCAGCAAGTGGTGGAAATTCCACGTTGCTTTGGAGGGGGACCAGTCTCTCAGTAAGACAACCACTCATGGATTCTCCCACAGCGTTTCTAATTTTATTGCCCCTGGGGGAATGACAGGCTGAGTCAACCCCCTTCCCCCCCACGAGAATGAGCAAACTTCTGATTTAGAGTCCACACGCTCTCAAGTGCACACCTGGTCTAATATACTTTATGTATTCATATACAAATATTAATTCTAATCTGCATAGTAATTTATCGAAGAAACTAAATAATGCATGGACGCTTCAGAGACTCAACACTGCCATGTATACCGAACAATCAAACAAAAACGATGAAAATCCACCTAATCTGAAAAAAAACCTATTTAACAAACTCCCTCCTTTCTCCTCTTCTACACAAACACGTCAGGCAAACCAAGACCTCCTCTTTGAGATAAGAGGTCCTTGGGGGGAGGGGGCACACACACGTACATTAGTCCCTCTAGTCTCTCAAGAGCTTGGCTGGAGATGTTTACACTGGGGGGTAAACACACACACTCTCTCTAAGATCCCAGGTTAGAATGTCGGAGCAAATACTATTGGGGCACACCGCCAAGGGTCGTTTACAAGGAGAGGGTGGGGGGAGGGGGGCACAGCGTTATGCCTGGCCACCTTTTTTTTACCCTCCAGCACTTTGGATCAAATACGTACTCAAGTATGGCAGAGTCGAGCTGTGAACCGGAACATTTGACGATGCATTTTTTGGCCACTGGCATTGTGCAAGAGCGCATGCTGCCAGGATCACAGCAAGCGCACGAATAGCTGCACCAACGCTTTTTTAAACCTGCAAGGGGGGAGTGACCGTCCCCAGCAGATGGCAGTGCAGAAAGCAGGTTGCTGGCCCACTGGAACAGAATTGTGAAAGCATTATTGTCGTATGCGTGTGGGTTTTTATTAAAAGTAGAACCCTCTTAAAAGACGAGTTGGGTGACTGGAATACTTTCTAGAGTAAAAAAAACGCTTACACTTATCATAAAAATGTAGGTCTCTGCCAAATGGATTGCTGTATACCCTATACACACACACACGTGTATTTCAGTTTGTCACACAAGCTTAAGAGCTGGAAGTTAATTTATCGCAGCGGAATTACTAAATGTCAGGCAATGTGTATCTGCCACGGCGTGTGCCAATCACGGTTTATTTTTGGGAGCCCGTCGCGTGCTTTATTGGAACGCAGAGGGGTCAGAAGTTTATGAGAAACACATCTTTGACACGCTCGCACGCG